AAAAAACCCGAAAAAAAATTAAAAATTTTTTTTATCAAAAACTATAAGTCCGGGAACTGAAAGCTTTGTTGAGACGTATACTTCGAAGTGTCCTCCACAAACTGCTGGAAAAAAACGGGTGGGGGGACCCTCCCTTAAGATCTCCTATAAATAAGATATAAAATAGCTTAAATACTCTATATTCTAAATGTCTGAACTCGTTCCGATGTTTATTGAGTGAAAAGTGAACTTTTTAATAGTTGAAACGAGCTTAAAAATCCGAATTTTCGTAAACCTCACTTTTCGGTAGACTTTTAGAACTGTTTCTGAAAACAAATATTGCCACAAGACTCAGCATGATCGATCACCTATGGGCCATCAGTTTTCAAGGCTACGAATAGTCGTCAGGTGCCAGTCCTGGGACTCGCAAGAAATACGACACAACACCCGAACCGCGGAAAACCAAGGTCTTGCTTGACTCTCATTTTGAAGAAGATACCTTGGGCTATCATAGCATGGAAAAAAATCAATACAATCCTACTGAAAATTTTCACACACGATTTTGTTCACTTAAAGCATCACATAACGAAGAAGATGATCATGGCGGTGACAATGCGTCATTATTACATATTAATCGTACCGATGAAGATGATGAAAAAGAACAAACAAAACAGTAAATTCTATGATTTATAAAACTTAAGGCAGTTCACGTTAGTAACGAGATTCTTTCTGCGTTCGTTACTAACGTGAACTACCTTAAGTTTTATAAATCATAGAATTTACTGTTCTGCTTGTTCTTTTTGTTGTTTCTTCTGTAAATGAGAACTTTTACAATTTTAAGTGTTTCCGTTACACCGTATTTTTAATTTTCGATTGTCCAATATGGACGGGCCATCTACTTGAAGAATCTTTTTCTTGACCTCTCTCTCTCTCTTCTTGTGCCCTGTCTGTTCACCTGTTAAAACAGGTGAAAGAGAAATTATTTTTCTTGATTAAAGAAAACTTGTTTTGACTAGATCGGCACGGTATCCCTCTCTTCATCATGTTTTGCTTGTTCAGTTTTAGCTGATTCCATCTCTCCTTTTACGTGGATGCCTGTAACAGATGACCGCTGTGCACCTTAGATTTTAGGAGGCGTACATCCAGAGCTAAATCTATCTATAGAACAGGTGATGCACAGATACCTTCCTCCGCATAAGAGAAGTACTTAAATTACTTTTAAAGCATCATAATCAAATGGATGTCGTTGTTCTTTTTTGTCTTGTGAGAAAAAGTTCATGATTTTTATAACTATTCAGTGATAATAATATAAACATCACCATTTTTAATTTTTTTCCCAATGTATGAGAAAACTTTTTTTACAAGGTTACAAAAAAAAAGGTAGCAACAATAAATGCGATTTTTTCTTCTTATTTTTGTCTTTAGTTCCTTCTGTTTAATTCAAATCAAATAAAATAAAAAAATTTTGGTCGCTATGAACAACATTCAGGGATTTTTCTCACAAACAAGGTTTTTTTCCATTCTTCTTATTTTAGAACCAAAACCGATGACTAGATTTTGCCTGACAGCCTTAAAGTAAAAGATGTCAACCAGAAGACGAGATGTATGTTTCTTGCTTTTTTCGGATTGGTCCATAGCATAATTCTTGTACTTATTCTAGGCTAGTCCACCTAAATATGAGGAAGCATTTCATCAACTTCGAATTCCAAAATGCATTAGTTTCAAATCGAAAAAGTATGTGATGCATCTCTCTAACGAAGAAAATGTCTAAGGAGGAGGGGTTTCAGTTTATTAGTCGTCGTAAAGATTTGCATGGCGAAACTAGCCTGTAAACTATCATCGGACCTTAGTTTGCCAATTGCCAAAGATCACGCCTGATATAATAGGTAGGGTAATGTGGCAGTTCTGTCTGTCCTCAATAGAATCATGGAATAAACTTGTATAACTTTACTACTCTAAACTAGAAAGCTAACAATGAATTTCTTAGACCGGCTTCACCGCTTTGCTGCTTCCAGCCTTTTTTGCTGGTTGACATTTATATTATATGTTTTAAGTTCTGCCGATGAATTGTGCCATTGTGGTCGCAGTTTGGATGCACATAGTAAACATCGTCCGCCTCATACACACCAAAATGAATGGGACATCAAAATTCATACAATAAGTGAAGTGAAAAACGAGCATGGATTATTAAACAATGATGCACCTGTGCGTCTGGTTTCTTTACCGCACAGTTTTTGTATATACAAAACTGAAAATTTTTGCATTTTTGCAGTAGGTACGATGTTACATTTTACGAACAGAACCAAAAGTGTTAGAAAAAATGTTGCTTGATATCTGGAAATTATCGAAACCACGTTTAGTAATGTCAATTATTGGTGGTGCCAAATATCTTAAACTGGCTGAAGGATTAGAAACAAAATTTATCAACGAAATCATAAATGTTGCTTTAAAATCTGGTAAAAACGCAACAAAAGTGCACATGGATACATAGATATAACTTACTATCCAGTATATACTGTCATAATGTACTGAAAACATCTGAAAAGCTTATCCTACATTCCAGCATTTAGTTTCACGCAGAAATGCATCCGATAAGAAAATAAGCGATTTTTCATTTCTGTTTGAGGTTCCGCGTCTTGTCATTAAAAACCGCTCTATTAAGCGCCTGAAAATATCCACAGGTAACCCGACATGAAGTAACCTCCCTCCTCTCCATAACAGATTCTATTATGGGGGAGGTTATCGTGCGCAATTGATCACAACTGGTACAAAGTCGTTCTCTCATGCTCCAATCAAGTCCAAAGCAATACGTTCGTACCCGAGTCACTTTATAAGAAGTTTGGGGAGTCACTGGCTAGCACTCATGAGACAACCCCATATGGACTCTTGTGTTATATTGCTTCATTTGCAGCCGATCTACACTACTCACTAAGAGAGCAAATCTGAACAAATCACACTTCTGAACAAATTTTTCCTATGAATACATTATTTTTCTACATAAAACTGTACACTCCAGCCACCACCTTTTCTCTGGTTCTGTCCATAGCTCTAACTGACACCCTTAAAGGATGGCAATAGCTTCTTGGTGACACCCTTCCGAAGGTGGCAATAGCCGTTACTGACACCTCCTGAAGGTGGCAATAGCTCCTTGGTGATACCTCCGGAGGTGGCAATAGTCATTCCGGAAAAATAACAAGGCACATAGCTGTAATCCATCAAAGAGGACACCAAAATGTGGCATTATTTTTTTATATGAATAAAGACACGTACCATTTTGTCACAATATGTTTAAAAAATATCTTAATATAGCCTTTATTCTGTAAGAATACAAGCGAAAAATATTCAATTAAAGTATTCTAAACTAGAAGGATTTATACTATATTGTAACACAAGCGTAGAAGAAATAACAGCGTCAAATTAAACTTATAAACTGTCAACATTTTCTTCGCAAAGTATTTTTGTACTTTAAATAAATCAAAAGTGGACGTCATTTTTTAGAGTTTTGTACTGTTACATGTAAAAAGAAACAAACAACGAATTATTGAAAACATACACAAAAAAATGTCAATCATTTTATTTCTTAAACAAAATTAGCATAATTTGAATATTAATACTTTTTAAAAAACATGTACTCTATATATCTCAGCGCATGTGACAGCACAAATAGGTTTAGCCTCTTATTTCGTATTTCCAGACAAATTCATTTAACGAAAGCGAAACGTTTCTTCTGTAAAAAAAAAAGCTCGTAAATCTTTATTGGTGCTACTAGTTCCACCACTACTGTACTAGTTGCAAGCGAGTTTATTTCTCTCTATGAAATAGTGTGATGCAAATGAGTATAAATAGTGAGGTAAACTTTATTTAAACTACTTCATTTAAAAACAACCCGACATTCAATTTCAGACGATATTTTAATTAGGTATCCACGAGTTAAAAACGGGTGTTGGGGCATTAGAGAAAATTGTTACACATCGGTTATCAAGATTGGCTCAGAGCTGCGGAACGTCTCATTTAGTAGAAAGATGTTTGCCCTACAAAGCACATTAGTTAAAAGAACCCTAAAATTATTCTGACGAAACTTGGAGCACTCTAAAATGCATCAAATTGTGAAAAAGAACTATACAATTTTTTCGGAAATCCCACGAGGGTGCTCAGATGCGGTCCCGTAGAGGACAAAAATTCTTTTGTCCTTGAAGCAGGTCTGGGATGATCTAAAAACTGACGAGGCACGATCTTTGCAGAACAGAATCACTTTTTGACTGTAAGCGTGAAGATTACTCAACGATGATCTAATCTAAATCTATAAAAAGTAAACAATATTATCCTCGTGCGTTCTGTAGAAAAATCAACATGAATGATAGATGAAATCGATTTATTTTTGTTTGTATTAGTATCACTGTTTTGAAATATAAGCTGATGTTTGGTGAAAAAGAAAGTTTAGAAATATCGACAAAGCAAAAAGGCAAAACATTGTTACATAAAACAAAGGACGGGAAACGGTTTCTGCTAGAAAATCGCCCAATATGATTTTGAGTGGAAATGATCGGAAATGCATCCCTTTTCACTTCCCAACACTTCCCATTTTCAAAAAATCCTTCTGGTGTCTTTGAA